CCCGGAAGTATTATTTTTTTCAGGGAGAAGGCGAACGGGTTATGGGGAGGCAGGTCTGGTGAATAAGCCGGGTGTTGCGGGATTTCCAAGCCGCACTATTCTGCTGTCTGGTCTGCTTGTTGTACCCTGTGCACAGGGGCGTTGTCATGCAGTAGGATGATCCTATTGCGGAGTTCTCCACGCCATTTTCTCACCAATTCGGACCGCAATTTTATCAGCAAACACGAGTAGTAGTCTCCTGTGACTGTTTTTCCATTTTCGAAGTCATGATGATACCTTCACAATCCCGGAAACCCGACAGCATGACCTTTTCACTTGACAGTGTTACCTTTGCCATCTTTGGTGAGGGAGAAGAAGATGTTCTCCAGGGCATGGGGGGCATTTTTTGTTCTGGATCAAAATGATAAATCCATGTTTCATTCATAGTCACCATGTGTTTAAAGAAATTTGTACCTTTGGACTCAACTCGAAGGAGAGTTTTGCAGGACTCAACCCTTTGCTTCTTTTGCTCACTTATCAAAAGGCGGGATACCCACCACGCAGACACCTTATTCGTGTTAAGATAGTCATGGAGATTCGTTTCAATTGACCCTACACTGATTCTCGTTTCACTTGAGAGCTGTTTAATAGGTATACGTCGGTCTTGTAGAACCAGTTGCTTCACTATGGATACATTCTCTTCAGTTACCACAAAGACCTTCACGATCTCCATTTATCACCGACATGACTCTAGATTTGGATCTTCTTACCTAGTATGCCACAGTATCATAACGAGGATATTTGTCACAATAAACTTGGACCGTTTGTTGAAAATTGTCTGAAGGGGATTTTCCTTGCATCTGTAAAAACTTGATAACCGAGCGATATTCAACAGACTCCTAGGCATAGCTTCAGAAAAAAAAGAAAAACGAACGATTTTGTGCATGGGTTCATTGAACACGCTGACTAGTGTCTTATTATTGTCGAATTTTCACAAAAATTTGCATGATGTGTTCTGAAGAAATTGTCTAAAGGCTGGCGAAATTTCATGACTCTACCATGATTCCTTCATACCCTGACCAAGTAAGACTTATTGAACCTCCCTCGTATTATAAGTGACATTATGATTATCATTGTCTGTATAATTGCCCAAGCAGATCTGATAGAATTACGTTTTCTGAGAAGCATACCGTGCAAGCAGCTATTTTATCGGCGCTAAAACGATAACATACTGACAAGATCTTTCGCTGTTAAACAAAGTTGAGCACAAAAGCAGATAGCATGAGCAGCAGGGCTAATGTGACAATGCTGAGAGAGGCTGGCCCACTGTGTCCGTTACATGCCGAGTCTTTAAAGTTGCTCCAGTCGTCTTCAGAACACGTACTGTTTCCTCCCACAATGCAAGATTTCTTCTCCTTCACCAACTGGCAATAGCTGCTGATACTTCCACTCGCAGACTCTGCTCGACAGGATTCGAACCGGCGCTGACAGTCGGGGGAAGCAAGTGTTGCTGTCAGTTGTAGAGCCGTCGTCACTGGCCATTCGTCATCCTGCCAGTTGACCACTGGTCATTAGGAGAAAAAAAGAGAAAAAATAAAGATAACGACAGGAATAGATTGTTGGAACCATTACTACGCTAAATTTTCAACTTGTCGGTTTTTCACTGTTATTTAAGTTACTATAATATTATTGATTAAGTAAGTTTTTATAGCTTTACATGAAACACCGATTGCCATTGTGTGTTAAATGCATAGAACAACACGCTTTTAAATTATGAGACACATTTTACAAATATCTTGCTACTTGCTGCGATTACTAATGGGAACAATGAGGAAAACAATCTAAGATCAGAAATGTTTCAAACACACTTCCGGTTTGTTCCTGACAAGGGCACCAGATAAATGTTACCATGGAAACATTAGTATCTATGCTTTATAGATTATTCAAAGGCTTTCGATAGAGTTAAACATGATGAGCTATTGACAGGTTTGGAAGAGCTAAACATAGTTTGGAAACGATCTAAGAATTATTAGGAATTTGTAATGGGACCAAAATGGCGCTGGAAGAATTGATGGAGCACACAGCGAATATAAACAGGTCAAAATAGGAGTGGGGCAAGGGTGCTTTATGTCGCCAGACCTCTTTAACTCAAACAGTGAAGCAATCCTTCGAGAAAAAACAGAATCCAAGTCTCAAAGTGAATGGCAAAAACACTGATCGCTTCAGATATGCTGATGACAGTTTTAATAGCAGATTCAGAAAAAAGACCTACTATTGCTTCTACATATTGTGATAGTGAACGTAAAGATTTATTTTTAATACCATGAAAACAGAATGCATAGTAATATATTTTTTAAAGGAGTAAAAATCCTATTTGTAATGTCATAAGCAAATATGAAAATATCAAATACGTTCAACAGCTCAAATATTCCTGATATATAATTATTAATTTTTTATAATGCAGGTGTTCTAACGCCCCCATCGACACAACTTAGACCAAATAAAACGAGGAATTCCAATGGGTAAAGACAGTTCTTTGAAAAAATGAGCCCAATCCTAAAAAAATTTGAAACATCTCAATGCCTATCAAAACTAAGATTCTAAAAGGCTATGGGTGGTCAACCATTCATACTGGACAATCACTAAAGGAAATAAAATACATAGACACCGTAGAAATATGTTTTCTTATGAGACTTTTGAGAATTTAATGGAAGGAAAGTAAGTCCAAAGAGGTAGTGCTTGAAGAGGCCCACGTGGGACGCTCGCTGGTGAAAACAATTGGGAAGAGAAAAATACAGTTTCTAAGACCCTTTAATAGATTTTTGAGTCTTGAACTTCTATCTCTCATGAGCTCACCCATAAAATTGAAGGCAAACAGAGAAGCTAACTTGAAAAGCCTAAACTAACAGATGGGAGATGAGGAAAAATTTTATTAGAGCATCTGAGAGAATTGAAGGCGAAACATGATCGCAGATGTCTGTCCCATATCTGACACTTGATGATGATGATGTTGTTTCGTTTACTGTGTCATTTCAGTGACGATGATTATTGTTTCGTATCTATAAATAACCGTCTTTCTGATTTTAGTTTAGTTTTAGTAAGGTTTTTAATGCGCTCGCAACTGCATAAGGACATTTGAGCGCCAATGGGTGGATGTCAACAGAGAAGTCCAGACGGGGAATCAGGCTTATTCTGCTCACCTCTCTAGCCTCAACAGCACAAAGTTTGCTTCGACCATCAAAGCACCCCGGAAGTAGCAGTTCACAAGTTCCGGCACAGTATGAGCATGACATTGATAAATCAGCCCATTACAATTCGACTGTGCATAAGAATAAATCAGCCCATTTACAATTCGACTGTGCATAAGAACACGTTAATATCCCCCCTTTGGGAATGGCCTAAAGACACTTCAGTCAGTAGCACTGCCCTCGTCCTTCTGTACTCACCAGAGCGCGTGCAGGCCGCGTCACTCATCTTTTATGTTAATTAAAAACACATTTTTGTCTGGATTTTTACTGAAAAGCATTGATTAAAAGTACAAAAAATGTCAATTTTCAGTTTCCAAGGACTCCCAGGCTATGGAAGTTACCAAACTTTGGCGGATATTTTCTCACCAATTTTACATCCGAAACCAGACGACCCTGACCTCAATCCATTGCAAATATTTCGACTTCTATTCTACAAAGATTGATAATTTTTTCACCAAAAGGAAAGCAAATGAACAGACTTTAAGGTGATACCAATAACCCCATACGCCCCAAAATTGACGAGCGCCTGATTCCACCAAGTCGTGACACATATTACAAGTCTATGGTATGGCGCAAGACACACCGCTCTGATCGACATTAATTGGTCGCTTTTTAGCACAAGGGGGGTATTCCGAAAAACACAGTTTTGAGTAAATCGAAGGTAAAGTTTTGGACCCTCGTTCAGTTTCTTTAAAAGAAAAGGAGAGTTTTCTCTATAAGCAAACAAATATACACCACTAAATAATGAAACCAAATCCCCGAAATCTGGGTTAGCCGGCTTGTCCTTAAAAGCGACCAATTTGACTAATGAACTTTGGACTCGTTTCGCGGGCGCCTTCTGACCGTCCTGTGACGTCACGCCTCGTTTGTAAACGACACCATGTTGTTTCATTTTCATTGTGTTCTTGGTCTTCATCTATCACTCTTTCTACTTCTCTCTCTATTTCTCTCTCTCCTCTCTCTATTTCTCTCTCTACTCTCTCTATTTCTCTCTCTCCTCTCTCTATTTCTCTCTCTCCTCTCTCTATTTCTCTCTCTCCTCTCTCTATTTCTCTTTCTCTCTACCTATTTCTCTCTCTCCTCTCTCTATTTCTCTCTCTCCTCTCTCTATTTCTCTCTCTCCTCTCTCTATTTCTCTCTCTCCTCTCTCTATTTCTCTTTCTCTCTACCTATTTCTCTCTATATTTTTTTCTCTCTCTCCCTATCTCTGTCTGTCTGTCTGTCTGTCTGTCTGTCTGTCTGTCACTCTCTTTCTCTCTATCTCTCTGTCTCACTCTTTGTCTGTCTGCCTGTCTGCCGGTCTGTCTGTCTGTCTTTCTCTTTCTCTGTCTCTGTCTCTGTCTCTGTTTCCGTCTGTCTGTCTGTCTGTCTGTCTGTCTGTCTGTCTGTCTGTCTGTCTCACTTTTTGTCTATAAATCTGATCGCAATATGCTGAGGGCTTCTACAACCCGCCGAAGAGGAGACACTCACTTATACTTAGAGAGGGGGAGGGGGAAATAAAGAAAGAGAGAGAGAGAGAGAGGGGGGGAGATAGAGAAAGAGAGAGAGAGAGGAGGGGGAGATAGAGAAAGAGAGAGAGGAGGGGATAAAGAAAGAGAGAGAGAGGGGGGAGATAGAGAAAGAGAGAGAGGGGGGGATATAGAAAGAGAGAGAGAGTGGGGAGAGAGGGGGAGGGGGAGATGGGGATATAGAAAGAGAGAGAGAGAGAGAGAGAGGGGGAGGGGGAGATAAAGAAAGAGAGAGAGAGGGGGGGGGAGGGGAGAGGATAAGAGAGAAAGAGAGAATAAGAGAAAGAGAGGGAGAAAGTGTCAGAATGAGAGAAAGAGAGAGAGAGAGAGAGGGAGATAGAGATAGAGAGAGAGAGAGAGAGAGAGAGAGTGAGAGAATGCGAGAGAATGCGAGAGAAGGAGAGAGAGGGAGAGAGAGATGGCGAGAGAGAGAGAGAGAGAGAGAGAGAGAGAGAGAGAGAGAGAGAGAGAGAGAGAGAGAGAAAGAGAGAAAGAGAGAAGATGCGAGCGAAATAGTGCGCTTTGTAATCTTAACAGCACTGTACCGATACTCTACAAAATAGCCGAAAACAGAAAAAAATCCCACAGTAAACACAACAGCAAGCAATGAAGATCCAAAAGAACAAAAACCCTTTTTTCCCCCACGACAAAATAAATAATTCCGGAGTCCAGATCAAAGACAAGAATCAGCCAACTCAAAATCACAATCCAGATCGTTTTATTCTTTAGTTTTAAAAAGCCCCATAATATTTAATATCATTGAACAGCGCTTGTTGTAAGTTGAAGACGCATAAACAGGAAAACAGAAATAAAAACAAAAATACAAATTGCTGTATTGAGCAATGAAATGGCAAGATTAGTCAAATGGCAACTGCAATCATGTTAAAGTATTTGAAGAAAATGTTCCCTCCCCAAAATCCCCCCCCCCTTTTTTTCCTTCCAGTTAAAACGTATTGGAGTCAAATTATCATTCGAACTTTAAAAAAAAATAAATTACTAAACATAATATCAGTAACCTTCCTTGTAAGTTGAAACAGCATAACAAACAGTCATAACGAAACAAGTAAAAGCAAGAAACAGCAGAATTACATAAAAGTTATAGCTATGGATATACATGTTGCAAATATAATTTGGAAGTCAAAATCATCTCTCTAACCCCCAGATCCTCCCCCCCCTCCCCCCAGTTTCCACTCATACCTTTTTTACCCCTCTAAATAAAAATAGTAAGGAGATGTCATACTCCGATTAACTATTACATGTACTGTATTACATTGCTTTATTTTTGTTTAAAACGAACAAACGAAAAACCAAAACCAAAACCAAAACACCACCACCAACACCAACAATGCTGTTATTGTTGTTGTTAAGTGTTGCTGTTGTTGTTGTTATTGTTGTTTTTGGTTTTTATATTGATATATAGGTTATATTGTTTTTGAAGTCTGTTGCTTTTTGTTACTGTTATCATTGTGTGTTGTTGGTTTGTTTTGTCATTGTTGTTGTTTTGATAATATTGTTTTTATTCTCGTTGTTTTGCGGCTGCTATTGTTATTGCTATCATTATTATTGTTGTTGTTTTGATAATATTGTTTTTATTCTCGTTGTTTTGCGGCTGCTATTGTTATTGCTATCATTATTATTGTTGTTGTTTTGATAATA